ACTCTTTCCTCTCATACCCACACTTGTCACATCCTCCCAAGGGGTCCTAGAAGGGGGCCCAGGGGAGCCCAAGACACAGGATTCGAGGTGCAGGAGGCTGACCTGGGGGCAAAGATGTTGCTGGGACCAGGATCCCCCCCTAAGGTCAGATGCCACTAACCCAGAACTCTGGCCCTGGGCCCCCTCCCACCTATGAGTCAGCTTCTCGGGACCCCCTCAAGAGCGGTGTCTTTTCTTTCTCACAAATATAAGGGGCTCCCAGAGCAGAGACCACTGTCAGCCTCCATGGTGGTGAGAGCAGCTTTTGCCTATGGTGCAGCCTGGGACCACCAGTTTCCTGCCTGCATTCCTTCCCATTCTGCCAGACAACCTTCACACCACCTCCTCTCTCTGAAGTACCCAACAAACCCTTGCAAGCCTTGCTCTAGGCATTTGATAGCCTTGCTTCGTCATTCCCCGTGAATCACCTCCTTCCCACTTCAATCCCTGGCCCACTGTCTTCGTCCGCTATGAATGCCATACATTGCCACAAACTTGGTGTCTCAAAGCAACACACATTTATTTGCTTGCACTCCTGTAAGCTAGAAGTCTGACGGAATTCACTAGGCTAAAGCCAACGCAGGGCTCCATTCCCTTCTGGAGGCTTGAGGGTGAATCCACTTCCCTTCCTTTTCCCACTGCAGAAGCCGTCCACACTCCTTGGCTGGCGGCCCCCTTCCTCCACCTTCAAAGCAAGCAACGTTGCATCTTTCTGACCTTTGTTCCACAGTCACATTTCCTTCTGACCCTCCCCAACTTCTTCCCTCTTCTTTCTACTTGTGATTACTTTGAGGCCACCTGGATAATCCAGGATAATCTCCCTACCTCAAGGTCCTTAACCCTAAGTCAGACTTGCAAAGCCTCTTTTGCCATGTAAGGTAACATAGTCGCAGGGTGTGGAAATGAGGATGCAGACATCTTCGGGGATCCCTGTTCTGCCAACCACACCCACCTGCGCCTCTGCCGAGGCTTTCTGCCTTCCATGGTGGTGCAGTGTGGTGCCAGGCTTCCACACGGACTTTGGGTTCCATACCCTCGGACCCGCTCAGTGACCCTGCTCTCTCCACTGCATCATTAATCTCTCCTTCCTTCTGGGTCATTCTCGTTGACCTGCAAACAAACTGTAACATCTCCACCTAGAAAAAGAGGGACTCTCCTGTGGTCCAGTGGTTAAGACTCCGCTCT